AAAATGACTCCCCCAATTGGTCATTTTGGATTGAAACCTGAGAAACAAACAGGTTGGGAATTGAGTTTGAAGTGGGGAGAAGCCACATAATTCATGATACGGCCAGCATTTGATTGACAACATAGCTGTGTTTACTATGGGCTTTTGATGTGTAAAGGTCTGTGGTGACTGGAAGAGAGGGTCATTTACATATTCTGATGCACAGTGAACCTGCAGTGTGATTCAATGTAAACTTCTATAAGTAGCAATGCTTTAATGTCTTCTCAGTCAGAATGATTGGATATGCATTATAAATCAAACAGTTGAATTACATTTTTTCAAGATTATACTTGTTATTTTTATAAAAACGCAAGATAATTATAGCAGAATGTGAAGTTACAGTCACGATTTCCATTACCCAAATCATCGTACAAATGAATATGTGGGGAAAATGTCAGTATTTCCAGTAATCTCAGCTCCAGCTCATCATGTTCAACGTCCCTCTTATTTTACAATTAATCCCAGTGCTCATCTGTTAACATTCAGGAACCACCATTGGGGTTTCTCTCTTTGGTCGGTTTTCTAGATGAGAGGTCGAGGTACGACAAAAATAACCAGTTATCTCATGTTTAAACTCCAATTAAAAAATGCTGAGGTTATTGAAAGACTGGAGCTGCTGTGTTTTCCCTACTTTCCCCTTGAAGTCTTTTTTCCTCTTCATTATTCTCAAATGGAGCTCTCCGGGTGTTTGAGAAATGTGCTGTAAAAGGTAAATATTGTATTTGAATGCATCGTCCAGACATTACATGTCACTTGTTAGATTACATGTCACTTGTTAGACGCTTTTATCCAAAGGACCAGACGCAGTCGGGAGTCACGCTACGCAGGTTTTTAAGCGCGGCTGTGCTTTCCTTTCCACCTCTCTGACTCCCAGTGACACATGGAGTAACCTCCACAAGTACACGCACACAAAGGACTCCAATCTTTAAGTGTCCACACATGCACACTCACATACAGACGTCTGCTTTGCATTTTGTTTTTTTAAAAACACATAGTCTCATATTTACAAAATATTTTAACCAAACTCTTATGTTAATAAAATGCTTTGCCGATTGGACATTTTCAAAAAATATTGTATTGATAGAGTAGGAATTTTAAAGCAATTTGAGAGCACTGACCTCTACCCATGTTGAAACAAAGTTTTAAAAGGTATTCGTTTGGGAATAAAGCGTATTTGGTTTCTGGCAGAGCTGAGAAGACAGCATGCTAATATTTATACGCTAAATATAGTTAAAGAGCCAGCAACCAGCTTCATTTAGCTTATCTTACACAGACTGCAGGTGGAAACAGCTAGCCCAGCTTTGTCCAGAGGTAGGTCATTTTGCCTTTTAACACATCGATAGGTAGCACATTAATACTTAATGGAGAGCAGCAGGTATGAGTCTTAAAGCCAATACATTAGAATTTTAGTCCAGAAAGTCATTGGTTTTTGATTGGGTTTCTATGTCTGAAAAAAGGTTTAAGGTTAACACAAATATTTTGTTCCATGACATTGACGTTGAAGTCATGCGCCTGTGATGTAATTTGTTTGATAGAAAAACCATGGCTTTTACTTTATAAAACCTACAATATTATTTTCATTTGTGAAGATTATCTTTCTGGACAAAACTTTGATCACAAACTTTGTTTTGCCACAAGACGTTTTTTCTGCAATAATCAAAAATCCCCAAATCCCATAAAAATGCTTTCTGTACTTGACTGTGCACTCTTGATTCCAGCCTTTATGCTATGCACAGCTTATCAAACCAACTTTCAGTTGTAGCTTCATACTTTACACATAGTTTTTATACATTTTACTTTTTAGTTGGACTTGAACATTTTGACCAAAAGACAAGGTTCCTATATCACACACATTTTGAGTTGAAGTTTGACCCCGACAAAACAAAAACCTGGAATCTTCATGGCTAACTAAGAGACTTTAATTCTGGCCTAGCTGGCATCAGTGGAACTGAACTGGGCTTCATTCCTCATTGTGTGAACAACTAAATCTCCCTCACGCCTAATTTGCTAGAAGATCCCGCTTAATACACAGTCTATTTTGGGCTTATTTGGCAGGTATTTTTTATCATTAGCTTGGTGGCATGCTTTGATGTCTATCTATCTTCCTGGAGGGCTCTAGGTAAACTCTGGGCAGGAATGTGCGGAAGTCTAAGGGGACATCGGGGCATGTGGTCAAGTGAATTGGGTCAGTGATCGGGAGATAATTTTATGTGATGGGTGCTTTTTGAAGCAATTCAAAGTGGATGGAGGGGTATTCTGATAAACTGTAAGAAAGGAATTATCATAACACAGCGCAGGACATTTGTGAGCCCCACATGAGTGATTCTGAGAAATGTTTGTGCAAGAGAATCAAAGAGAAAAATATTTTAAATTCTAGAAAAAGCCCAATTTTTATTGAATGGAAATACCCCCTTCTACCTCCTTGAGTTCTATGTTTCCACACATGCGGTTTGATTCCCTCTAAAGGGCATGCGTTTCCATCACTCAAGGCCGCTCGCTCTCTGTTGCATCATCTTTGTCTTGCAATTGAGCAATTTAGGATTTGTAGAAGCCCCGCTATATTTTTCAGACTTGACCCCGACATATTACATAATGTCGGCTCCCAGGGAATTATGACGCATTCTTTAGTTTAGGGTCTCAAGTATCAAGAAGGCAGATTGCAGGCTTAACAGCTGTTGGTTATATATATTTTTTTACAATTCTGTTGTTTTTTTGGCCAACTGCTAACAGAATCCTAAACACTTTAGTTATAACAAGGTTTTTTATTTTTTATTTAAGATTTGTCAGTTCTTTCAGTACATGAGTTAAAAGGTGTTAGGCCTTGGATACAACTTTCTGTTATTCTCCCCTTTACACAGAATATAACTGTAAATTGCACAGATTTGAATTGGATAAAAATATGCAATATAAAGATGCCATAATTTGCACTCTTGTAAATTGCAATGCTTATTATCATTTTCGGACATTTTATAGTTTAAGCATTAATTCTAACTGATAAGTTGACCCTCAAAAAGTGCCAATTATTATGATAATCAACTTATCGTTAGAGTAATCATCAAAGCATGTCACTACTGTATGGACATTTCCTTTTAGTTTTTTTTACCTGAATAAATAGAATGTGTGTTTTGGACTGACACAACAAGACATGTAAAGACCTCTACTTGGACTTTTATAAATTGTGATGGACATTTTTACTATTTTCTGACAATTTATCGACCAAAACTATTCTTTAAAAAATATTTTACAGATTAATGTCTAATGGAAACGATTAATTGTTCAATACTCAATTCTTATATAACTTGCATCTCTAATGGAAACAAATTATTACTGTGCTGTCATAAAGATGTTACTGTAAAGATTTATTTTTTAAGAGGAGTGGGCATAGTGTGATCCAGTTCACTTTAAAGTGTAGTCTGTTAACTGTCGAATAGAATGAGCCCATCATTCCAAACGTGTTATATTTTCTATAATTTGCACATAATAGGGTTGACCAACAAAAATAGACACTTTAAATACCCTGGAGCCTTCTGCAAATCTCCCTCCATCCATCCTCATATTTTAACGGCTACAGTAAATGTGTAATTAAAATATTCATTGGAAATTAATAATATGATGATCATGATATAAGTTAATGTTGTGTACATGTTCTTCGATAATTGAACGGATGAAAAATAAAGAAAACACTAAAGACTACCCTAAATAAAAAGAAAATCCACAATATGTTTGAGATATTCAGGTTGTCTTTTTTACCTATTGAGTTACCTGTATACATGGTTTGGTTTTTTATATGATTTTTTTATATTCCGGTGGAATAATGGTTCAGTTCCTATAAGGTAATAAAAAGAGTTCAAATAAATTAATCATTACAGTCATTAAAATGTATTTTTTTTATACTACACCTATCAATTATTTGTACGTTTAGTGTTCCAGCTACACTTCAAGTAAATCATGAACCAAATCGCACTTTAACATCTTGTTAGTCATAGCCTACAGATAATAGACTAAAAATAATACTTTAAAATTGAATCGCTACTTAACATCACAGACAGCCTCAAAGTCCCTGCGGGAGCACTTTGAAGGATTATTCATGATATTATAATGATTTTTCCTCGGGGTTAAGAGCACTTTACATTCAAATGAAAGAAAAAGCAGCAAAATGACTTTTACAGATGCGTTTTGTACGCCTACTTACAGTGTCTCCGTGCCTGCTGGAAACCTGGGGAGAATATCAATGTCACGGCAGGAGATTGTGTGCATTTTCCACTCAGTGCACTCGCAGACAGCAGGGCAGGAGTCAGCCTCCGCCGCGGTGCTCACATGGAGAGTGACGAGCGTAAACAACACGCATGTTATCACCTGCATGCTGGAGGGCTGCTTGCTGTCAGGCGGCTCAGAATAACTTCTTGACAGTCCTCTTGATGTCCACAACAAGCATTTATATAAACCTTAAAACAAAAAGAAGCCAGGATAGTCAAGGGTGTCTGTTTTTGATGTGTAATCCTCAGGTAGAGTCAGTGGTAACCTACTGGGCTGGAGTGTTATGCTCTTTAAGGGGGCCCAGGACTTTCTGTGAGGTTGTGAAGGTGGGGATGGTGTAGGACGGACAGCTTCAGCTCTGGTGGGTTTGGAGGTGGTCTTCTACTTTAAGGGAGGGTGGACTTCTGAGGCACTCTTGTGTCAGACTCGAGAATAGTTTGTTTTTCTTTTCCCCCTTGAAACGTTCATTGTATTGCAGCCTATTCTGATATACAGCAACAAGTAGTCTACTTTTCTTTAAAGCCAGGTATCCCACTTATATTTTACGTTCAATTTCAATACATTTCTTTGTTTTTTTAAAACGTTTTTTTATTAAGAGTCAACCTCTGCTTTGTTTTATTTATTTATTCTTTTTTTCCTTCTCTTTTCTAACTGACGAGCGGCAAGACTGGCGCTAACACATTCCTTTGGACAATGTAGTTCACAAATGATGCATTCCTACGCTGCTTCATGGTCAGCAGCATACATTTCCCAGCGTCCTTTGCAGCCGCTGATTTCTGTTGTTGTTTCCGGCTCAGACGCGGCTAGTTCAAGTTGCCATAGCAAGGCTATTAGCTATCACTCGCAAAACTAAACCAACGGCTTTGGTTTAACGTATTTCTTGAGGTAGCATTTATTTGCTCTGTTGCTGCTGGACATTCGCAGTGTTTCGCAGAGTTCACGGGAGTCTCAAAGGAGTTAAGTTGGCTAACGTTTGGTCAGCTAGCTAACGTTCATAGTAGTTTCCACTTGTTGCTAGCCTGGAGGAGCATCACAACAATGCCTGCTTCAGTGATTGATAGGGGCAGTTTGAATTGGAGTGTGCTGCTGGTCAGATAGCTCTCTGTCTCAACGGGTTGTCACGGTAACAATGACAAAGCTCCCACGTCTGCTAAGTATGACAACAATATCTATTGTAAAAAAAGTTCATAACCAGCCCAGTTTGTTGTTAATCTGATTAATGTAGCCGGTAACGGTTAGCGTTTTCTGCAGGAGAAGCTAGTGCTGGCTATCATCAGCCGTTTATCGTCGCCTCCACTGTGAACCTGCCCTAAACTATGGATACATCCAGTGAAACGGAGTCATACGACAGGACAAGAGTGCACCGGCGTCGGGGGCGTGAAGCCCACCACAGACCGGGCCGGGACAGGGGCAGAGCCGGTGGGAGTGGGAGTGAGCCTCGACCCGCAGATATGTCCGAGAAGATCAGCACACTGGCGAGCACTTTACAGGTACTGAGCTCAACAGCATTCAACACATAAGCTAAACACTAGCCTTTATGTGTTTATAACATGCATTGAAACCCAGAGTTATTTCGTTCATTGGTAATTAACGCTGTTGTTGTCTTGCAGGATACCAGTAGAAACTTGACCAAAGTAGACCGGATGCTAGGCCATTACAGGGAGCATACAGATGATCAGGCTGAAGCCATGACACTGGTGAGACACCTGTTCTTTACATTTTGATTTAACAATAAGATGCAGGTGCTTGTCTTTCCATTGCACATACAGCCATGTTTTGATGTCAGATTTGTTCAGGTACATGTGGTTTAAAAGACCTGAACACATTATTTTAGCTATTCAAATACATTTATATGAGATAAAGAAAGCATTTGTCAAAATGTAACTTTGTTTCAATAGTTGTGGGAATGCACTAGACATTGTACTGTTCAGCTGATTGATAAAACATCTTCAGTGCATCATAACATTTTTAAGGACGATATGATACCAATCGTATACTGCTAAAGATATATTTGAGTTGATCCGACTGTTAATTCTATTTCCATGCACATTGCACATTTAAATACACACTTATTCCTTTATTTCTTCTTCTCCAGATCTTTTAAGGGATTTGTCTTATGTTCTGGATTACTTTTCTCTTAATGTCATCATTCATTATTTACAGCAGTCTTGTTTTTGCTTCCTAATGCTATGTTATTTTGTGTTTTATCTCTGATTATTTCCCTTCCTGCACCAGCTCAGGGAGAACCTGGAGGAGTCCATCAGCCAGCTGCAGACACAGAGGGTGAGCAGGACAAACGGAGCTCCGAGTGCTTCAGCTTCAGCCTCCACCCTGCACACAAGTGACCTGGAAGCTGGCTCAGGATCAGGTATGGAGTCAAATAAATGATATTTACTCTCAGCTGTTCTCTCATTTACGTCTTACTTCTGTGTGATTTGCTTAAAGGTGTAACATAAATAGAAAAACAACATACCAAAATGACAACAACAAACATGAAAAGAACACCTTAAAATAATTTGCTTTAACCCTTTTTTTTTATATCGATATTTTTTCAGATGACCAGCGTTTCTTCCCTACTTCTCCACTGAAGGACTATACAAGCACTCCAGACAGGACGCGGAGGTCTCAGTCCGCCGGTGTTCGCTTCAAAGAAGCCAGCCTGCCAGGAGAGGATGTGAGAGACAAACCACCCAATATCAATCAGTGCTACTTACTACTATAATGTAGTGTCAGAGAGTTTCCACTAGGGGTCACACCGAGTCAGGAACAATGACATGGATTTTATAATGCTTATCTAAGAAATGGGTTTGTTAGATTTATATGATTGAATAATTGTATAAGTATTTTGGCCTATGTTTAGGAGTGCTATTTATCTACTTACCACAGTGGTAGCATACATTTGCATCTCCATAAAGGAAATGATGACCATCTTTTTAACATGCTCGGCTGCTCGCGTTATCATTTTTTGTATGTTTATGTATCTTCAATTAGATTCACGTTTTGCATCAATCCTTGAGAGATCTGCACTGTGGCCAGCTAAGACTGTCTGATGACCTGGATAGAGAAATCCTCCGGAGGAATAGGTATTTAAGTCTGAATATCAAAACAGTACTCTTAGGTTTTTTTCTCTCCACTTAGCAGGCTGGCCGTACACAACTGAATTCACCTGTTATTGTTTTTTTTTTTACAAGAAAAGATGATTTTTAGTGTCTTGTTACTCTGCTATAGTAACACAAATAATAAATGATCTGTTGAACTACAAAAATAAATAAAAAATAAAATGTTGCCTGATTTTTAAAGCGAAGAAAATGATAATAAGTGATGACATGGACATGCACAGTAGAAATGTTCATTCTCTTGTCTGAATTCAGAAAAGACAACTAATTAGAACTAGAAATTTGAACTACAAAACACATTTTTACTGGATAAATCAGTGTTTAAAGGCTGCACGTTTCATAAAGTTTATTCAAATGTAATTTCAAATGACTGAATTTTGTACACTCTGATATAGTAATCCACAATGAGTGCAATGGGTCTCTCATGCAGTCCTTTCTTTCTTTTCTACTCTAATTTAGGCCTGACTACTCTGACTGAATATTGATTTTTATGTTTTCGTATCCACTAAGCTTAAAAAACAATTGCATGGTTTTCAGGTCTTTGAAGTCTCCTTGATGAGAATGTGATGAAAGTGTCATTGGAAACTTAAAGAGTCAAAAGCCTGTAAAGCCAAAAGGCGGCAGCTCTTGCATTTAGAATTTGACATTTTCACATTATTAAATTATCTCTCCTCCCCGGTGCTGCTGACCAGACCAAATTGATCCACCTCTATAATTCAACTTCTGAAGCTGCATATATATTATTTTTAGTGCCGTCACATTATGCATTCACATTTTGATCAATGATGCCTTGGGAAGGGATTTTTCAAAATGACAGAGAGCCCTGATGTGTGAATATTTGTCTGCTTTTTTATAGGGCTGATATTGACACCCGGCGAGCGATGGAGAGCCTCACGGAGCTCACACCCACTTCCCCGAGACAGGCCTCGGTGAGTTGTAGCTGTGTATTTCATCACCAGTACTTCAACTATGCTTTTCAGCTCTCTGGACTTGAATTTAAAGGGACAGTTCAAACTTTTTGAAGTGCGTTGGCGTGAGGTAAGTACAGTAGATGGCGATCAATAGCCCCCAGTTTGTTTTGCTTTTGGTCGCTAAAACCCTAACCCTAAAACAAAAAAAAGTGCTATATAAATCTACTCCATTTACCATTTAGTACTATGGATACATCTATAGGCAAAATGTACTTTAGACACTTAACATCTATTAGTTGAAGTGTATACTATTTCGAGAATATTTCTTCCTTGATCATAGTGAGGGCCCTTTTCTAACAGAAAACTAAAGCTGTTATCTATGCTCTCCTCAAATCCACCAGACTCCTTTGACGAAAACAGTCATCTTCTTTTACAGAACGGAGGGTGTTGCTTTGTTTACAGCTGCCTGGATCACTTAGTTTGCCTTATTGTGTTATAACTGATCAAGGCAGCGGAAGACAAGCCACTTCTGTAAGGAGAAACCTGTGTTTTGTCAAATGAGTCTGGTAGCTTTGAAATAAGCAAAGAGGAAGTCTTCCATTTCCCGCTTGAAAAGGCTGTCTGACAGCAAGGTAAGTTTGAGGACATATTAAAAAGGTAGCTTACAGTTAAGCTAATATTGATATTTTTGTAAGTTTAGGTTACCCTTTTTAGGTGAATAAAATATGTTTAGCTGCTGCCCCCCTTGCTTTGCTTCTGTGCCTTAACTTCTATCTGTTTCTCCATTCGGGGCAGAATATATATTGTAGATATACACCGGCTATGGCTAAGTACCTCCTACAACCCCACTTCAAAACGTTTGAACCTTTAAGGACACTACATCACAGTTATTGATGTACACAAATGTATAAAGCAGGACAAATGTTCCTTTTTTTTCTTTCGAAAAGCAACAACAGTAAAGTCTATCTTTATCAATATTGCATTATAATATCCAGGCACATGGCTATACGAGTATACATGTAGGGGCTGAGGACCCTGAGCCCCATCTGCTCCTGTTGTTCCCTGTGTGAATGTTTATCACTATGAGCAAGTGAATACACTGGATATGTGTGTGAAACGGTTAATGCTCACTCTGTTGCAAAGCGCCTTGAGTGGTCGCTAACTAGAAAAGCGCTATATAAATGCAGTCCATTTACCAAATCAATTGTATTTAAAGTGTACACTATTTTAAGATTGTTTTCCCTTGACCATAATGATATCCCTTTTCTGACACAAAACTGTTATTTATGCTCCTTTCAAATGAGTCCTTTTGGCAAAAACAGTCACGGACAAATCTGTGTTTTTGTCAGTGGAATCTTTTGTTAAAGGGCTGTCTGATAATAGGGTGGTGGAGAAAATATTGAAAAGGTAGCTTACAGTTCAACTAATATTGATATTTGTCTAGGTTGGTCTTTTTTAGGTGGCTATTATATGATTTGCTGCAGCACCCGTGCACAGCAGCAGCTTTGCTTCTGCACCATAACTTCTGTCTGCCTCCACTAGAGAAAGAAATAACGACCAACAATCTTTGTTAATAATACAATAACAACTCCAATATGGGCCTTTAAAACTGTGGTGTAAGTAAAAAAAAAAATGGCTTTGCACTAATCAAATCAAAATGTATTATAGCCCCAAATGACAAAGAATGCCTCAAAGGGCTCTACAAAGCAAACAAAAGCAAAGACAACAACTAAATACAAATATCATGGCGCAAACATGATAAAAACATTATGAACAACAACATAAATACTGCCTTGATAAATGATAAAAGCATGTGTATGTAAAACAGGACAGAAGTGATGCTAATGAAGATGGAAACTACGTGATGGAAACTAGGTGACGAGGAAGACGGATGCAAAGATATGTGTTTTGAGTTTGCTTTTGAAGGAATCAACAGAATTAGCTTGTTTGATCTGAATGGGAAGAGGATTCCAGAGGGAAGTGCTCGGAAGGAAAAGGCTCTGCCACCTACTGATGATTTGTGAATTCAAGGGATGGAAAGGAGACTGGCATTATGGGGTCGTGGGAGCCTGGTAGATCTGCACGGGGTAATTAATGATGATAAATAGGGAGATGCTAGTCCATGTAAGATTTGAAAGGTTAACAGTAAGATCTTGAAGTCTGATCTTATTTGAACCGGGAGCTAATGCAATGACATGAAAACAGGTGATATGATAGGTGCAGGGGCGAATTATGTATTGTAGGTATAAACTGACTTTGGCATCACATCACATTTTCTAATGAAAACACATGTATAAAGCAGGGAAATGGAAATATATGCATGTTTTACTTTTGCTTAAACAGAAAAGGGCTACGGACAAATGGTTTCTATCTCAAGTGAAGTCTTACTTTTGCAGATATTTCATTATAATCTCCAGGCACATGGCTCCTCACCGCACCATCACTACTGTGGCAAATAAACTGCTCCAAATGACAGCCCACATATTTTTGATCTTGTCACGTCCACAGACAGATAAAGGTATTACCAGTCTTTTACAGGTGGATGTGAAGCTTCCTTATTAGGCAGGGAGCTTCTTGCATGTCCTACTTCCACTCCGTTTCTGAAATATATTCTTTCGTCACCCACAATTTTAATTTCCTGTTGTCTCATTCATCAAATCCTGCTGCCATCCCTGCACCGGGGGATGTTTGTGTGACCTCATGTGTCCCCGTCCCCTGTCTCACTGTCTGCAGGTGTCGTCTCGTGTGGAGCGGCGTCTGCAGGAGCTGGAGAGAGAGATGCATTGTGGGCAAGGCGGCGTGGAGCGAGAGAGAAGGCCCAAGCAGCGGGTGGCCGTGTCTGACGAGCTGCATGAGGTGACACTTCTCATCACTCATCTGCTGTTATGCTTCCACCCAACACCTCCCCGTTGACACTCTCGTGTTCTCTCACATTCAACAAGAACGCTGAAAAACAATCCAGAGATGACATGAATTCACAAAATACAACGTGGACACATTAATTAACATAAAAATCCAATGGGCTGTTTGGAGATGGATTTCCCTGAACAGGATCATGTTATAATAAAGAAACAAGTCATACAAAGGCAAAGAAAAGAAAAAAAGAATACAGCATGAATACAAGTGAACCTTGAAAGAACATATAACCAAACAAACCTATGACAATTTACTGGCAAGGTACAAACACATATTGCATAGAATGAAGGATGCAAACAAAGCAAAATGAGTCATCAAATATTAGATAATATATATCAGATATATTGTTGACACAATCAGTGTGTTCATTCGATGATGTACATTGTAGATTTGTTCAAAAATAAATATGGTAAACGGGTGAGACGGTGTAAAACTACAAAACACGGGGATATCCTTCTTAACGTAATTTATCTTCAAAGTCTCCATGCTAGGTCATCCAATTCAGGCATAATAACCGACAAGTGTTCACATTTTTCTTGTGAATTTGTGACTTTAATATCCCCAAAAGTGTCTTTCCCTCAAACAGTTTTAAGAGAAAAGTGTTTCTTCTGATTCATTGACCGCCTTAATAGCTGAAACTCTGAGTTGTGTCCCCCTCCCCCTGCTCCTTAATATGTTTTTGTACCTACAATGGCCTTGATACACCATCATATATGTAAGCCATGTGATGGCTACATTTAAATATCCTTGCTGGTCTCATGCAGTCATTTTCTACCTAGAGTTCCGTGATTGTAAACTATATCAAACGCTTATATCTACACCAGCTAGTGAAGCAATCACTTCATTATTTGACTGTACCGTCAAGAGTACGCCATCAGAAACACTTTCTACCCACGTAGGAAAAGCAGCATCAGCAGTACATGCCTGTTGGTTATTCCCTGAGTAATAAAACAGATCTCTAACATTTAAACATTTTTAAACATTTGAATTAAAAAAATCTGGTAAGAAAAGGTTAAAAAAACAAGCTTAATGTGTTAGAAAATGGAAGCCAAAGCTCCATTGATGTCTGCTAAGTGGTTATGCTTGACCTTTACAAACAAGTCATCAGAGAATAAATCAACCAGAGCCACAAAATATGTCGTTGTGATTAGTAATCTTCCACACAATTAGATGTAGCTGCTTTGCCAGATCTCCACATTTCTCTGCGTTGGCTGGGTTCACCTTGTTACACAGAATGTTTTTTTCCTCTAATGTACTGCAGTCCTCCCTTGTTTGTTAGAGCAGCATTCCTGCTGTGTCACCTCACCCTCTTTGTCTGCTTTATGACACTATAAAGCACACCTAGGCAATTACTTTGATGCAGTGCAAATGGTCGCTAAGCAAGCAATTGCCACTTTCCCGTATTTCAAGCCAGTCTTTATTTTTTTTGGCGTGCAATTGTCTGTAAGCATTAATAGCTGAGAGCTCTGTGATTAGGTGTACTTTAGTGATTCACAGCTAGATGCACTCAATGCCCACAGTCGCAGTAAATAGCACATTACCTTGTATCAATGCTCTTTTACATTGCTGCGTTGCACTCATCCATATACATAATCAGCATAATAGTTTGAATGGTAATTCTGTTGGTTATAACACATTTTTTCTTGTTTTCTTGTTATTTTGAGGACAGCATTTTGTAGAAGCCAATCAGTTTCAACCCTTTTTTGAGACATTTTGACGCCTACTGCAGTTCACTAGTAAACCACAGAGAGGCACTGTGTAGCTGTGTTCACCCTGCAAACCTCTTGTGAGCCAGACTTTGCAACCCACTGTGTAATGATAGTAGCTACCAATTCATTTGCATCCCTCTTCTCCGTAGTGCCCTAATGGGACACCAGCAGGGCCCAAGGCGGTGGGAAATAATGCATTTGTCCAAAAAAATTAAGGGTAAATAAACAGAGCACGAGGACATGAAGAGGAAAATGATCTCTTTTACTACTAAAGAGCAGGAGAGGAGGGAGAGCACAGGGCACATTTATTCCCCACCGATGGGCCCGCTGTGATGTGAATCAAATAGATGATGAGTCACTTGGGTAGATGTTATCGCTAGCAGCCGGTAATTCATCATCACAGCCCGCTCACAACGAGTGGGATCTAAAGCGCTGGTACAAATCCACCACCATGCCAGGGTCTGGTTCTGAGAAGACGACACGGAGGGGTTGCTATGATGCAATCTAGCTGCATTCTGACACTTCTCTTGAATGTGTGCTCTTGTATTGAAACATGCTGTGGCCTGCGTATTGTGTTTTGTAGACTTCAGGGAGACAAAAAGTTCAGGGACATGAGAGAGAGGAGGCTGTTGCAGCCAGGCTACTGAAGGCAGAGAAATCTAAGGTAATTATGTTTACTCTCAAAGGAATGTTTTGTTAAAAAAAGTCAAGCAAATTTGAGCTATGAGAGTTTGCCAAATAAAAGTCCCCACCAGTGTGTTACCTGTATCATTTTACTGAGTGGTGCAGGAATGAGTCCTAACATTTTGAAATGAGTCAGCATTTTAGCACATCCCATTTTCTCTTCTTGAAGTAAATGTTTTTTTTTGAAGAGTTTTTGGTTAGATTCTTGAAATAAGGTCTGTTGTTAAGATTCAAATATTTTAAAATGTTGTTCTTTGACATGAAAAACAGCTAGACAATAAACATGTGGTGCAGAAATGAGTTAGCATTTAGCACTTCCAGGTTTCCCCGTCTGAAAAAAACCAAGGTTTGTGGTTAGCATACACTATTTTATGTTTAGTTCTAGGGCACTAAACGTCCCCAACAATGTTTTTCCCTGCATCATTTTACTGTTTAGAGAGGTGCAGGAATGAGTCCTAAAACCTTGAATCAATGAAATAAAAGACAGCTAGGCAATCAACGGAAAAATGATGGGCTAAGAGTAGGAAGTGACATAATGTGAAAATACTCAATTGAAGTTCAAGAACCTCACATTTTTACTTAAGTACAGTACTCGAGTAAAGCTACTCAGTCATTCCCCCACTTGTTCTACGACACTAAATACATCAATAAATAATCAACAATGTCTGAAGCTTCTTTATAACGGCAATTGCTAACGAGTAACTAAACGAGACTACTCAAAGTCTGCTGCCAAACATTAGCATTCTTTAGCTTAGCAGTTGTGATGTGACATATAGTTCATTTATAGCCTATTGTTAGTTTTTTTCCGTACTGTTGTAAAAGTGGTGTTAATATGTGGAGATCATATTAGTGTCATAAACTTTTGTTTGCCAAAGAGCTTAGTTATTTATTTTTGGACAATCCAATTGCTCTTTGTCTATGGAGCCCTTCCGGATTTGCCTACAAAAATAAGTTATCTCTGCACCACACTCTAATGGCAACATGTAAAGATTTGTATCTTTACCTAGACAGTTAGTATATTAAAAAATGTTTCTGGAAAATGACATAAAGCTCCTTTTGAGCTCTGTATTTTTTCTGCTTTAACTCAAAGTGTATCTTCTAAATGCTCTAACCCTGACCCTGCAATGATATATTGTAGGCCATGCTCATTCCGAACCTTCGAACACATAGATTTCCACCACACTTCTTCATTATATATCGTCCTGACATTGTTATTGTTGTGCTCTCCTCAGATGGAGCAGGAGCTGGAAAGAGCTAGAAGACTACTTGAACAGTCTGAGGATAGCAGAGAGTCCCTCTCTCAAAAGGTTTGTTTGTGTGCTGTACCTGATTGTATATGTACAGTCAATCTCAGCGGCCAAAACGATGAAGAGTGCACCCAGGGGCGGCGGCGAGGGAGGCTAAGCCTTCCCAAATATTTTTGTTGCATCCTGGTAAAATAAAAAAATAATGTATAATGTTTCTGTCTTTGACATTAGCGCTGCTATGTGCCCTGTACTACGAAGCCAGTTCAACAGGCGCTGGATATGTTTGAGTTATCTTAACTAACCCTAACAAACGAGATCTCGCTAAGCGGTCCTACGACGCTGGTTATCAACTCGGTAAATCAAGCCAGGGTTTCTCTCTCCAGCTGAGAGTGCGTTCATGTGAAAGGGGCGGGGTTAGCTACATTTGACCAATCACAAACAGGGACAAGTGTGCTGACAGCGCAGCGTCATACTTCATTAATGAAAAGTAAACTAATATTAGACAAATATGAACTTTAAACATCCATGACTTAAATATATAATCCAGGATACAAGCCACATAGTTGCACCTGCAAGGTGAATACCGAGTGTTTGAAAGCGTACATTAACAGTTTTATGATATCACTGCCCCATCTAAGACACGAGTGGATCTGACTTTATTATTACATTTGAGTTGAGTGTTTCATCAACTTAATGTGTTCTTAAAATAATACTTCTGCATAGGCTACAGTATGTGACACTGTGAGTGTTGCACAGCCAGATACGGCTCAAGAAGCTGACTCAGATAAGGAAATAGGCCTATATCAGGGGTCGGCAACCCCTGGTACGCGTGCCAGCATTGGCACACGGCACCGTAACCCCTGGCACGCTAGGAATAAGTGGAATAAGTGTNACAAGAATAGTGATTCTCCCATAATAACACTATGATCTATTCTTAGGTAACAAGACATGTACAACACCTTCCTTACTTGCAATAAATAAGCACTAATTAGAGGGTTATTGAGGAAAAGCTCTCAACTAATGGCTTATTACTTGTAGAATACGTTCATGTAGAATAAGGCATTAATAAGTGTTTTATAATGACTAATAAAGAGCCAATATACTGTTAATATGCATGTTAATTAACAGCTAGTTGATGGTTAATTTGTGTGTTAATTTGTGTACCTTAATATAAAGTTATAACTAAAACACGGTTATAACATTCCAAGACACGTTTGCATGTTTACACTGTAAAAAATGTGTTGCCATCATACTGGCATACTGCCAATATTCTACTCGCATATCAAACGAGTAACTAAAGCTGTCGGATAAATGTAAGGGAGTAGAAATTAAAGAATGTAGTGGAGAAGAAGTATAAAATAACAAAGAATAATGTACAAGTACCTCAAACTGTATTTAAGTACAGTACTTGAGTACATGTACTATTCCACTGCTAACATACAGTGTATTTCCTGTTTGCTCCAATCCATCTGCCGCCTCAGGTTCCTTGTCACTGTGTTCTACTTGTCTTGTCTTCACATGTAGAAATGAACTCTAACCTCACTAATGATGTGCTTGTTTGTAGATTATTTGAGCCTGGAGAAAGAAGTGGTGGAGCTGCGGACCCAGCTGCGCACGGCCTCTGTTCGCGGTGAGGTGGAGGAACTGAAAAGGACTCTGGACCGCAAGGAGAAGGAGAGGCTCCACCTCAGCATACAGGTGGAGGTGTGTATCAGTGTTACAAAGGGTAATGGATATGTTATTATATATAGACAACTTGAAAACTGTTCCAAAACTTTTATTTGTGCCCGGAGGAGCGGGGATCAAGGAGCGAGGAACCTCCTTTGTGAAATCCTTTACGGCCAACACGCCTGCTCACTGTGTATCAGTTACTGATTGGATCCTGCAGCAGATCCACTGATCTGATACATCTCAACACCACAGCAGTTTAAACCAAAGTGAAGAAAGATAATAGATTAAACTTAAGTTCATAACTCACAACATTCCTCATTTGTTATCTTTTTCTTTTCATGATCTGTAGTTTAGAGTAGGAGAGCTTGTAAGCAACAAAGGGCTAGGTTATTTATTTTCTTTTCCATTCATGCTAATAATTATTTAGCTGTGGTGTGACTTTGTTAGTAATAGAACATTGGGGGAGGGGGGGGGGAGAGAAAATCCCACCGTTGACATGCACCACACATAACACACTACAGGAAAGGGAAAGCCCAAAAAGTGAAAACCCCTAAAAGCATAAAAGGGACTCAGCAGAAGCTTTTGTCTTAGCCCGTGTCGGCGCCCCGACCCCTGTGCAGGGTTATATCAGTTTGTCGGTTTCCTCTCATCCGTGGTCACACCCTCCACCAGTTCTGCGCCACTTGATCCTCTTAAAATCGCCACATGACAGTCGGAGTAGCAGATCAGAAGTCAGCCAGCAGTCATTTATCCTTCACAAACCCATGCAATGTGTCACTTCCATCACTGTAACAACACATACAAAAAAGAATCTTTAAATAAAATGAACTTGCTTAGCAGTGGGTATTCAGGGCTGTGCGGGGTATCAATACAATTTCAGAAGCAATCGCTGCTCTTTAAGCATTGGCACATTCCTCTGATCTCGAATGCTCCCCTGACTGAAAATGTGTTTAAACTCCCACGTTTCCCCTATCGCAGAGTAGGTGTTAAAAGATGAAGTGGGTGTTTGCATGTATAACCTGGGGCGTCTCGTATGGTTTTCATGTCTAGATCAAAACAGACGTCGGATGTTTTTTATTTAATCGGTAAATGAGCAAAAATGAAGTATAATGAGGAGAATACAGCAGAAGATTCAATTTCTCAGTGACTGAATATATAGACAGTCATTAGGCCTTGACTAAATGCTGACTCCTGACTGGTAGTCTTCTTCTGTATCAATACCTTAAACCACACAAGGCTAACCTTACTTGCCCTGCACGACTTCAATCAAACCTCAAAGTGATTGTGATTTTCTGCTGGATACGAAGTTAATCAACTGTCCTTTCAGACTTCCCTCAGACCAGCCGTGCAGATAATCCATTTGTAGGCAGAATGTAAACACAGTCTCCACCTTCTTTGACCTTTTTGTCTTTGCCCTTTGCCATCTTCTTAGCGGGCTATACACCCGACCTTTGCTGTTGATCTTTTCTAAAGATCTCTCAAACCTTTTTTATTTTGTCCTTCCTTTTTACAACATTAATTCTCTTGTTGTCTTTTCTCTCTTTCAATCTTTCAAGGGGTTGTTGTTACATTCCAGACATTTTGATATAAAATGTTACCTTTTTGAGTTTATTTGGAAATACACATACATATTAGGCGGAGGGTCTAATGGCATATTTTGGTTAAAGCATGCCCATTCAATTCAAGTGTAATGTTAATTCTTTATTGAAAGTATAAATGTTCCAAAATGTGTTCACTTTACCGTTAGCTCGACTATTTAAAGTACTGTGTATATGGATGTAAAAGAACATCTGTCACTCCGTCTACTTTTAATCATTAGTTTACATGCAGGGATATTACATGTGTCAGACGGTGGCTCTGATTGTAAAAAAAAAAGCACTATGATGTTAAATATTACACAGGCTGTGATAAATGCAAAATCAGATTCCAAACTGATTGTATTAAAATGTTCGATTCAGATCATTAGTGTTTTTTTTTTAATACTATCTCTATATAATGCCTGGCTCATAGTTTTGCAATATATAGAATTATTATAAACAAACCCCAATACACAGATACATATGTTGGCAAGCTTCTTCACACATGGCACATTTAACTAGTATTCGTCAATTTAACGGGGTATATCTGTTCACGATATAGTAAAGGTTTGTTTCTGTTCTCATATGACTTGGTTTAATACAGCTTGAGAAAAATGACCCCCATATTTAAATATTATTCTTTGTCGCTACTACTCGTTATTACCATTTGGGTTTCAACTTGAATATTTCCAGAATTTAAACTCATTGCTCCACAGCCCAATGTCTCTGTCTCTCGCCTCTCTGTTTCCTTCCATTAACACACACACACACACACACACACACACACACACACACACACACACACACACACACACACACACACACGTGCTTGACCTTTCTATTTCCTTTATACCAGGAATTGTCATCAGACCTGCCGCGGCGGGAACAACAGCAGCTCCGAATGCTGGATCAGTTAAAAGAAACGCAGGTAATTCTTTTTGTTGATTAATGGCTCTCACCTGATAATTAAAATCAATTCCTAGTGGCACATTTAATTGGAAGCAATTTGTGTAAAGTTGATTTCACAAAATGTAGAGACATTTGAAGTTCAGCCCAATACACATATTTAAAATGTTTGAAATGAATTGACATGTTCTTTTGTACATGTCTTCATCCTTTCAGAGCCGAGGACAGGCAGAGAGGAGGGAGACGGAGACTCTACTCCAGGAGAGCACGAGGAGCAGGGAGGAATTAAAGAGCAGGGCCCAGGAGGCTGTGCGCCAGTGGAGGGCAAAGTGCAGGAGACTGCAGAAGGAACTGGAGGAGACGAGCTCCCAGGCTCAATTTCACACCGACAAGGCCTCACAGGTCAGTTCAGGCAGACGCATTCATTACACGGCTTTTGACACCACCGTCTCCTGTAGCAGCTGTGGCTAAGTAACTTCTGGTCTAGAAGTATGTATTTCCACATTGAAATAAAAAACATATTTCGTTCTAGTCAACTCATCTGCCCTATTTTTCAGACATTGCTAGTGCTTTAGGGGAATTGACAAATTCATTTTCATATGCTTATTAGGGACAATCCACTATTTTTACACATGAAAATGACTTTACCGTCCCAAGGAGAGCCTGTGAAGACTGTTAGATTAAGTCTTCTGTGGTTTTGCTCGGAGCTTTCATAAATAACCCTGATGATTTCAACATGGTTATCTCAGCTTAGCCTTGAGAGTGATTAAAACAAATATATAAAAGTTACACTCAAGATGCAGGGTTTGAAATAAGTGGGCATCTTGGAAGCAGGGGAGACATAATAAAAGGAGCTTTTTAGTTGCATTATGTGAAATGTAGGGCTTTTGGGCTTTGAATGATACTAGGGACATATCTCACTGCTTCCATTTTGACCATTAAATCCCTTACATGTTAGGTAGTGCAGTAATAAGAATTGTCTCTCTAAAGCACCATTTTGCATCAGATTATTTTGATGTCCAGTCTGTGTACAAAGTAGGTTGACAAAAAGAAAAAGGACATATTAAAGTTAAAGAGTACATGTGCACTTTTTTAATGTTTCATATCTGTATATTGCGCTTCTTCCGACATGTTTACATAATTCAATGTTCAAAAAGTGCTTTATTTTTCTCATACTGCCTGTGCTGCGTCACCTCTTTTCCCCCTCTCTGAAACCAGAGCCCAGTCTGCTCTGGTTGGTTGGCGGGGCGTGTGTGGGAAAGAAAGTCCTTCTGGAGGGAACTTGTAGATTTTAGCCTCGACAGACCATTTACCATTTCAGGCCTTTTTAAAACCAAACCAATTTAGCACCATTCATATAGACAAAGAAAGTGCCTTTCGTCTGTTAAGAAACGTTGTCCTACAGTGCAGATAAGCTTATTTTTCTACGATGGTAAAGCCTCTAAGGAAGCTGCAGGAACACTGTACAGTAAACTTTGTAGATACAATAAACAAAGTTATGGGCAAGAACAACTATTATTGTTAAACTAGCACTTTGTCTGGAACCACTATAGTCAGAAAAGCATTTAACATCGCCACGTTATCAGCTGTTTTTCTGTCTCTGTTGGCAATATTTGTTCCTTTTAGTTTATCTTTGAACTAAGTAGAAACTCACAGAGGTTGCACAGAATCCAGCATAAGTTTGCCGGACCGTAGTAACTGTCACTGTTTTATTGACCAGGTATCAGTTTGTGCTGGTGGGCAACTGCAGTTCATATACGTCAACTTTACTCATGGGCTCCCAGCAGCAGTGTATCAAATGTTCCGGATCATTCTGCTGCTGCTGCTGCTGGCTGAGCTTGTAGCTAGCCAGCCATCTGTTGGCACTGTCAACAACAACAACAACATTCTTCTTCTGTGTTACGTTTTCTGAGCAGTGGCTCATGCATACCTTCTTTGCCTTTTTGTGTTCTAGAAAGTGATCAAAAATGTACTGAAATGCATTTCCCTACTCCAGTTGTAGACAGATTTGTAGTGACGCTCCAGGCAAACAGCATAAAACAAACCTCACCTCAGCCCAACTCTGTAGTTCTGCACTGACGTCAGAATACATCAGTGGAGGCAAACTTACTACACAGTCATTTTAGAGTAAGGGCAAACATTATGGATAGTGTTACTTTGATGTGTTATTTGCAATATTTCTTAGCAACTTTGTGTATTAGGCAATGGTTCTCCTTCCTTTGTTGCATATTATATTACTGTTTTTGAGAAAATACATCAACACCTTCCTATCATGGGGGGAAATTCTCCAAAAGTATAATATTTAAGTCCATTTCCATCAAGTTCTTTCATAGTATAGAAATTGACCGCACCACCTTCTGTACTTCTATTATGCTTTTTCTTTCTTGTAGTGTTTTATATAGGTTTTTGTGCATGTTAATGATCTGCAAAGAATAAAACCCCCATGTTCCCTCCTGAGGGAGTTTCTCTCCCACACCCCCCGACCCTTGAACTTCTATTGGCTAGCTCTCTATTGGCTAGCACTTCTATTGGCTAGCTCTCTATTGGCTAGCACTTCTATTGGCTAACACATTGTACTTGATAGGCTAAGTGGTTAGACATCCCTAAGTGGTTGACCAATCACAACAGAGCCGGCCAGCTAACCAATCAGCAGATTGGGCTCTGGTTTCAGACAGAGGGTGAAAAGAGGTGCTGCTGCAGCACAGGTAGTATGAGAAAAATAAATAAATACCTTTTTGAACCAGACATGGAAACAGTAGAGACTCTAAATACAAACATGAACCCTTAAAGGAGCATCTTCAAGAGCAGGAGATAAAAACACATTTATTGCTGCAATCCATATTCATCCATGAAAAGAAGGTCTCAGTTTGAAAGGAAACTATGGTGTGCCTTTTAGAACTACTCAAAACAGAATAAGGCAGACCATTGTAAGTGATGTGGAATATCCTGGAGCTTTTCATTAATGGCGCAATTCAACCCAAATAAAGCAAAGGGATTGAATACATATGCAGGCCTTTCTCTGTTCATTTTGTACTTTGTTTTATCTGTAAAGCATAGAGGGTTTTATATCAAAGGTCAGATTAATTCTCTTGAATAATGTATTCTCAATTAATTGAATGAGAATATAACAAAATATAAAATGAAGTAGTACCTTTTGTAAGGTGTGTTTTAAGCGGCTGTGCTTAGTTGAATAATTACTGGCTGACAATTATTATCGTCTTGAAAGTCACCTCCTTATTTCCATTCCATTTGAACTGAGTGAGTCACCTCCAAACTCGCAGTCAGCAGCTTCACCGACATGACAGACAGACTGACACACTCCCACCTGGCATACTCGACGTGACGCAAATTCATTACAAAATCATTTCTACCCCCTTAATGAATTAGGGGAGAGAATCAAGTGCTCAATTAAATGATTAGGTTCTGAGCTTTAGCAAAGTCTTTGCAAATTCCAGTCAAAGCCAGAGTATTAGAAGCAATCTGCCTTGAACAGACCTGACCATTGTCCCTTATCAGAGTGCTGAGTGCTAGCATTTTCCTATCAGCACCAAAAGCTGGTACGGCATATGTTTCTCTGCCTCTGTCTCTCTGTCACTCTTTCTCTCGCTCTCCTCGTTATTGTCAGAGCTCCTTTTTGTACACCATATTCCGCCTCCTCTTCATTTGTCATTCTTCATTTACCGTCTCTTCTCCCACCCCCTCTCCCTCTTTCTCCCTCCAGGCAGCCAGGGAAAAAGAGAGCTCTCACGCTCAGCTGAAGGCGCTGAGCCAGCAGACTGAGGCAGCCCGCAGGGAGCTCGCCGAAATCCTAGGCCGCTTGGCTCAGCGCGAGGAAGAGCTCCACCGCAAGGACGTGGAGCTGTCTGAGGCCCGCCAGCGCCAGCTGTCCCTGGAGCAGGACAACCGGGAGGTACAAGGCTGAACACCTGGAAATCCAAAACACCTATCCAACTCACTAGGGACCAAACATTATTCATTTTTGATTTAACTATAGGACCTTCAGCAATATGATACTATTTGTCTGAGCAGCTCCATTTATAACACCAACAAGGACACATATTAAAGTCCTTTTACTTTACTTTACATTCAATCGCTTAATTTGGGATCCATATTTTAGTTTTAAGATTGACTGGTGCACAAAAGATAAGATAAAGATAAGATATACTTTATTGATCCCGAATTGGGAAATGTTTTCCTTGAGTGCTTCAGTCTAACCTTATTAAATCGTGTGACCCTGAATCTCCGATTTTACGGTAAGAATTTATATTCACTGATCAGGGATGTGAATCCAGTATATTATTAAAAGTGAGATCTTTCAGCCGTTCGACCCTCAAACTATGAAATAACACAACCCTGTTGCTTTTTGTGGCTAAATCTATCAAAGAACATGGGATTCAACAAGCCAATCACATTCGGGATCCCCTAACTAAATCACATTAAGGCTCATTAGAATATACTGCAAGACATTACTCTTTAGGAGTCGGCCTTAAAGAGACAGTGCTTAAACCGAGCATTTCATACAGACAGTTAATACAAATATATTCAAACAGACAGAAGAGGACAAATAAAGTGTGTTTGAACATTAAGGCATTTAAACTTGTTCTAGAAAGAAAACCATTTACAAATATGAACCCATAAATGAGCGTCATGTGTCCCCTTTAAATGTTGACTTTAGCAGGTTACACGTCTAATTTATTGATATGTGACGAGTTTCAAAAGCCTAAAGGTTGAATCAAACTTTGAAGTATGCTTTTTAGATGAAATGCAATGGTAACACCTTTTAGCTGTCAGCGAATATTGAAGTCGTGCCAAAGTTGACATATATTTATTATTTTCTGAAATACTTAGAAATTATTCTGTTTGTTTAGGCAAATCCCGCTCTGGCCTCAGACGCAGCTTAAACTTTGATTTTAATTTATTAGGCAGACCAATTTGTCATGTCATGTTTAGTTTGAGGTGCTGTAAGTAAAAAAGTATTAAAGCTCAGCTAAAGAGTCATTTAAAGAGCTTTGATCAGATTCTAACAGATCCTAACCCTAGGTGCGGGAGGCCTCTGCCGCCCTGGAGGAGGAGACTCAGCGTCTGGCTGCTGTCCAGACACGGCTGAAGGAAGAGAACCAGAGTCTGGAAGAAAAAGCTGACAGCCTAGCCCGTCGTTGTCATAGAGACCAGGACACGCAGGCCGAGTTCCAGGCCTCAATGAAGCAGATGACTTCGGCCCATTCTCGGCTAGTCCAGCTATTGGCCGAGGAGGAGAGCTCCAAGAAGGCGCTCCAGAAAGGCTTGTTGGAGCTCCAGGCCAAGCTGACAGCCGTGCAGGAGGAGCGGGCCGCACTGGGGCAGCAGCTGCAGCTGGAGAGAGAGGTGCATCAGACAGAACTGGACAATACGAGGGCCATAATGGAGGACACCAGGACCAAGAAGTTTCGTGAAGTGCAGGACAATCTCACTCTCTGCCTTCAAGAGCGGGAGGAAATGCAGGCACACCTGGAGGAGGTTAAGGTAAACCCTTTCTATAAATATCTCAAAGTATATGTTTTTTAAAGGACATAGAAAGTAAAAAAAAAGTGTCATTTTGGGAAATTCACATATTTATCTTTTTGCACAGTTGGATGATACCACTCTCTTAGCTTAAAATGAAGCCTGGAAACAGCCAGCTTGACTCGAATAATGCTACATAGACATTTCAGTTTTTCCATATATTGAACAAACAATATATAACTTCATTAATTGTTTATTGATAAGCTTCAGAGAGGTGGGTAAGCGGAAATTGCGGTGTACAGATTACAGTGGAGTGGTCCACCAAATGATGCTTGAGCCGCTCCACTAGCAACACATTTTGAGATTGGGTTGGTTTGTCTCTAATAACTGAGAAATAACCATAATTATTTCTAGTGCTACAACAAATACATAATATCTCATTTCATTTCATTTCAAACCTTTATTTAACCAGATTGGTCCCATTGAGATCATAGATCTCTTTTTCAAGGGAGACCTGCAGCATATAGGCTCCACATGAAACATAAAACAATAAAGGACATCATACATTATATTTACAGGATACATTTACATAGTTATAGACATTTACAAGTGCCCATAGTATCAACAAGCATTTAATTTAGCCTAGCTTTAAAAACATGCAGAGGAAGGAAATTGCTCAGTTTCAATTCTTGCTGAAGATTGTTCCAAGCAAGTGGAGCTGCGCACATAAAAGCTGTCTTACCTAAGACAGTCCTTGCTCTTGGCACATCTAACAATATCTAAATACAATCGATGCTTTCAGTCATTTCTAGTGTGTGTTCGAAACTCTGCTCAATGCAGCTTACTTTATCTTGTGTCCCATGATTGATGGGGACATGGCTAGTTATTTTATATATCATGGGCATTGGTTGTCTTAGTTTTGCAAATGTATGACTATGCATAATTATTGAGTATTAATCAACCATCAGTCATGGTGATGAGTTAATCTAAGAAACTCTTAAAGCGATTTCTTTTGTACAAGAAAGCCCAGTCTATAACTGCCGAACATAGGAACTGCCACAACTGGGTACAGTACCTTCTGCCGGAAATAAATACTCAAATCAAATAGTTTACTTTATCAGCATCGGTATTACCAATGCTTACTATTTATTTGATACCAATTTGGTTATACAAGTAAATAAAAACAACAAGGTTTGGGTTTGTTCTTCAGATATGAGTGTGACGTTAACGTGTAACCTCAATAATGAACTCCAGCTCAACCAACCATATTGTAATATCTAAGTAATCATCTTGAAATATGACATTAATATTTGTAATATACACACATCTTATTGTGAGGTTGATTTTACATACACTACGCCGCTCTTCAACACTACTTTGGCGTTAGCTTGTCAACATAATCGATAATAGCAAAGTTGCCTACCTAATAAAATATCTCTAACTTAAAAGGTTGACCTTATTTTACCAACCTCAAACAGAAGCCGTTTGTTCTACAGTATTATCCCACTTAATGCTTAACACTTCCCTATTTCGTTTGAACTTGGAGGCTACTATTAGCATCGTGAGCACAGATGTAGCTACCACTTGCTTACTACATGCTAACCCAAGCCTTAACATTCATTAACGTTAGCTGACTAAAAACATAAGCAACACATAAATAAAGTACTCAAATTTCACTGACCGCAAAACCGCATTCATGCACAGTCTGTTTTAACCGCAAAGCGAGTCACAATGGTCCGTCAACAAGGTACCAGCACAAAAAACACGGCAGAGTTCAAGTTATGTTCCCCGGATGAGCTGTGCAGGCTGAGTCCCTGTAGCATTACGTAGCTGCTAGCAGAGCAGAAAGCTTACAGCAGCAGTCACTGACTGGACAGACAAACAAATATAACTTAAACAAATGATAAATGGTAGTAACTCATTAATAAATGGGAATGTGTTTTACACTTTACAAGGCTCCCTTTTGGCAGTTATAAATGTTAGTAACTCATAAATAAATGGTCATAAAGAGATGCCAAAAAACATCAAGATGGAAGGGGGAGAATCAACTCAGTGAACAACAGATACCAAGGCTGATGAAGAAGACGAAGTACGCTAGGAAGCCAATATAACGTCAGTCATCTTGCCAAATAGTGAGCCTGTGTTGATTTATGAAAACTGTTAGAACTGGTTTATAAATGGTTCTTAATGATTTAATAAAGTGTTTACAACCTAATTAATAACTTAATTATAAACCCTTTATTTATAAGGGTAGTCTTATTGTAAAGTGGGACCCATTTGTTTTATTGAATCAGGCCAAAATGTTTCAACACTTAAGGAGTTTATTTTTCTTTGTAATATTTAATATTAGTGTCTGGGATTGGTCAAAATAGGTTCTCTTTCTCCTCTTAATGCTGTCCATGATCGGCATAATGATTGATTTATTGCAATGAAATAAGCCATCCTTTGAGCTTTATCTAAATGTGTTATATCCTTTTATCACCGTGATGCAAAAAACATCACATCTACACAGTTGTTCAAACACTTGGATATTTGTATCTTTCTATCGAGCCAGCTGTTTGTATCCTCTATAGCAGTGGTTCCCAACCTTTTTTCCCAAGAGACCCCCAAATGACTCCTGTTGGAAGTTGCGCCCCCCCCCACCCCCCCACCT